TGCTTTAAAGAGCCAGAATAGTGCCACTTAACTTTGACGATGATGCTAGGTTTTTAAACGCTAAAGTTTAGTCTTCAGCACTTCTGTTATAAGATTTATCGATGTCCACTCTAACCTGTGAGACACTGTAAGACATAAGATACTAACTTGCAAAGCCACCCTTACTGCTTAATGTGCTGCTATACCAAGGCTTTAGAGCAGAGTACTGACAGCCACAACCACAACTAGAAAGTAAATCTGTAAGAAACACTGAAGGGCGAAACTAAAACACTGAGAAATACAACACAGATCCAACAGCTGTAAAAGCAATGGTTCAAATTCTGGTTTCGTTTATGCTGCTATGCAACATTCAAAGATTTTAGGGTGATGAAAGTCAGGATTCGTGGGAGGATTTTAGTGTGTGGGAGTGGATAGCATCTCTCTGCAACTTATTAGCAATGAATTGAATTGCATGTGTATTTTATTAGTTTTCATCTGTACACCGAGAATCCAGGCCTTCAAAAACAAGATGCTATCCAGTCTAATCTAAACCCAAGTAGAAAAATGTATTTATTATTAAACTGATAATAGTGACGTCCTGTTGTGAGGTACATTGGACACACAAGTGGCTTTGGAAAATGAAGAATATCGAGCAGATGAATAAAGAGAAAATAAGGCACAGTGAGAGAGCCACCAGCAACTCCCAGCAGAAGCACTATCCTCGTCTCTTTCCTTTGTTGATACTGAGGATTGGATCTCATCTTTCACTGAGAACATTAAACAGAAAATCAAGCCGATCGATAGCTGAAAGAGACAAAGCGGCAAAGATGCCGCGAGCGGTGAATGCAAGCATCTCTGTTTGGCCGGCGGCGTCTGAGAGACAGCGAGCTGCAAATCAGCCAAACATCACCAGTGGTGTGGCTGAGACGGAAGAGACATTGATAACCTTAAACACTCGCAAAGGGAAGAGAAATACATCGCAGGGGGAATGAAACGGAACAAGTGGGAGTCGTGGGAGAGTTAGATGCTGCAAATCACCACCTGACCGTTCGTTACATCTATCTCTATGCCTGGTGTGTGTGTGTGTGTGTGTGTGTGTGTGTGTGTGAGAGAGAGAGAGAAGAAAGAGATTACATAGACTCCATGCCAGGGGCAGAACTTTGGATGAAACATGGTTAGAGAGGTTGATTAGCTACATTAGCAACAGCGTGGTGAGACATGGCATCACATGCAGTTTGACCAGGCCCCATCTGCTTACTGCTAAGAAGCAATCTAAAGGCCACCATAACAGACATCTGTGCCCGTTGTCTTTGGCTGAAGAAAAATTGTACCATGTTAATGTAATTCCTCAACCTCTAATGAAGCTTGTACAACACACAACGCAAGGCAGCTGCAATCTCAAGACAGAAGGAGCTCTTCACAATGTCTAAACAGTTGGCAGGGAACTACCAGCATTGTATGCAAATCATTCATGGCCTTATGTGGCTAAAGACCTGGTTCATTTTTATTTCAGCAATGTGAGATTTAAAGGCGTGAGGAGTTAAAGACTCCTCACTCCAGTAGTTTTGGTTTGTAGTCTCTCTATGCGCCTCTTTTCTGTTCCCTCTTTCCATTGGAAACGACGCAGTCCCAGAGCTGCTGCTCAGCTCCATCTTGATAGCAGCCTCCCTGAAAGGCAGGCGTGTTGCACTCACTGTCCAGATTCTTATCTCTGTAATTGCGTTCCAGTCAGGGAGGAGCGCCGGTGGAGCTGGCAACAGCACTGCCCCTGCTCCAAGACAGAGGACATGCTCCAATGGAGGCTCTGGAGTGCTGGGGCCTTTAGTTCAACTATCAAGAGAGACATTGGTGCAGCTTTGTCAGCTTTGACATACATTCAGGCTCCAGATGTCTCTGAAGGGTGCCACTGGTTGTTTTAGGCCAACAGGCCACTGCAAGTTCACTGAGATGAGTCACAGGTCCAGCTACGATTTCTGTGGAACAGGGCAGTTCAAGCCAAGAGTGCTCTGACAATGTTTTATCACGCTTGCCTGCAAAGGCAGGGCTCATTAACCGCCACCTAATGTCACAAAACCCGCTCCATCTAAGAAGTCTAGCCTTCCATAAACCTCTACAAATATTACATCTATTTTTTTTTTTATTCCATTTCCATGTAATTACATGTAAGCTTTTTCTTCACTACAGCTGCAATTAGCTACTGATTAATCTGCTAATTCCTTGGTTTGCAAAAATGTAATTAAGCTGTAATTAATGACAAGGTTTTATGCTCAAATTTAGGACTGGGTCATAATATTACATTTTGTTTGTGTGTTGTTTTTAATTACATATATTAATGCATAGATATATCTTCATAATGGAGATGGAATGGGACAATATTGTTGATATGGTTATGCTTTGATGTTGTATTACGTCTCCATCTGTACTTCACAGAGCAAGACAGTGCTGCTCTTTCAACAATGGATATAAATTTATATAATAAAGTTTGACAGGACACATTTATGTAATCTTAATCTGGGGCAACAGGTGCAAAGTTTGTTGATTTGCAGAAACTATTGCACACAGACTGTGGCGGCTTTCGCCACAGTCTGCTGAGTTTTTTGGGTTTTTTTATTATTTCACAGAAATCTGGCGCTGCTCGATACTTTCACTGTTGATTTGACGAGTACATTCAAATACACCACTAAATAACCAATCAAAGCAGCAGCAGACAGCTCAAATCTTTTATGAGGCGAACTTCCTCATTTTGTCAGTGGAGTCTGGTGGAGCGTAACAGCTCTGCTTCCTCGTCGTAAAGGCCCGTCTGACAGCAGGTGAAGCAGTGAAAATGTTCTAAATGTAGAATCCACTGAAACAGATATTGATTCCTTCTGTTTGGTGGCTAAAATTCATTTTGCTGCCAGCCGTGCCCACAGCAGAGTACGGCTTTATTTTCTGTACAGGTGGGGGGTGTAAATACTGCCATCAGCTACAGGTAACACAGTAACTGCAGATCAGAACCTTATGCAACCCCAAACAGACTGCAGTATTGTTACCCCAAGTAAAAAAACAACAACAAAAAAACAATGTTGTTATTTTGAACATGAGAAAGAATATGCACAATGGTTTCAATACGCTTACTGAAAACCGCTCCCGAATGAGAAACAATATGACTCCTGGTCTAAGGAGCTTGGAAAGAAAAGCATCTGGACATCTTTCACATCTCATCCAAGAAGCTTCAGAACTGAAGAAGCTTCTCTGATCAGAGGTGAAACGTCGTCAAGAAACTGAAAGATGTCCAGACGATTCAATGCATAACACTAACTTGACAATCTTGATCGACTGAATATCAACTATCAACTAAATCAACCGATGAGTCAAACATTTCGGCTTCACTAACAATTATAACAGCTTCTTTTAAAACGATCCCTGTCTTTTTTTTTTAAAGCCCAGAGTACTCTGGCTTTTGAACACATCATTTTGAGTCATTTCACTGTACAAACGTTTCTATTAGTGAAAGAGCAGAGAACTCATAGAGGTACAGTCAAAGGCAACCTTCCAAAGATGCTAAAGAAGAGCAGAAAATTGCTTTAGTGCCAGGCAAACAAACCAAGGCAGGTGAAAGGATGTGGCATTAGAATGACTGCAAAGCAGGCTTTGAATATCACAGAAACAGGAAGAGAAAGTGAGGATTTGTTTTTTTTACTGAGCAATTCTGAAAGTCGGACACCGTCTGGAACCGTTACTATATTGATTACTGTTTTTTCATTATCACATTTTCTTTTTTTTAATTTGCATTTGTTTCAAAATGATGCATCCAAGGTTTACCGCGGCTCACCACAGGCCTGTGCAGGGTGGTTACATATATAGTTATAGAATATAGTTAAAGCCAAAAAAAAGAAAAAGAAGATGAAATAACAGTTTTTAAACAAAATAAAAAACAATTAATCTGTTTAGTTACTCAGCCATAAGATTTTTAATGCGACGCTGCCTTTTCTTTTAGATCTGTGGGCAGGTGATCTATGTTCTCTTCCCTGGAGGAAACTTCAACGGCTTCAATTTTCTAATAGAAACTGCCCTGCCCGTATATATGACTAGAACTTAATTTCCTTGGGCAGCTCTGAAAACAATATACATTCATTTCACACACTTTGGTCATGTAATTTACTCGGTGTTGCCTTTCAAATGTTCTACACTGTATCTCTTTGAATTCACTGCTATAAGAGTGAGTGGCCTGTTTATATCCTTAATAGGTATTTTCATCACAAACACTCACACTTTCATTCAACTCTACATAATTTTGTCGTATTCTTACCGTCCTTTGTCATGTGAAATAACAAATTCACAAAGGCCTCATCAGCACTTCCAAAATGATGGCGGCAGCACAGCACAGCAGTTCTCATTAGAATTACACTAATGCCAGTGTTTCTTTGAACATCTCAATCAGTCTAATCCAATTCTGCACATACTGCTTCGCTGTGCAGCTTCACATTCCTACTGTTTAATGCTGCGCAAACAACTGAGAGCAAGTCCCTCAGAGGGGTCTCAGAAAAACCAACACCTCATTCTCTCAGCTGGGCTGAATTCATCATCTGAAAGCTGGCAGGAAAATCAATGAAAACTAATAAAAGGGTCATGCAGCGTGAACACAGGCCTTATTTGAATCAAGTCCAAGGATGCGGTCTGGACCCATCAAGTGCAGTGGCAATACTGGGAAAGTTTAGCTAGCTGCATGCCGCAGGAAAGATATTGACTAGAGTAGTTTTAAAGAAATTTTCTACAGCCACAATCAGCTTATTCCCATTTCTCAGTACTGTGTATGTATCAAACACTTCTAAAAGGATGAGTGCACAGAGACATTTATAGTCTTTCTAAGTGGCACAGGATCAATGACCACTGGAGCCAGGAAGGTGTCTGATTCTAAGCTTGTACTGATAACATTTACAAATCCAAATACAAAATAAATCCTTTAGACTGCCCCCCACCTTGGCACAGCATGCACACAAACACTCTATTCCAAAGCGAAAGAAGACTGCCGCACATACCTGCCACATTTACTTTCTCTGAGTTTGGAGCACTGGGCGTAATAGTGCTGGTGCCGTTGCTCAGGTTGGGCCCTGTGCCATTGTAGATGTTCTCCACCTTGGACTCTAGCTTGCCCAGCCTCATCATGATGTTATCCAGCAGGACTGCGAGAGTCTTCTTCAGGTCTGCAAAATGAGAATGTTAAATTTTATTTCTCTCCAGCAAAAAAAAGCGGTGTGTCAGGTCCATGAGTTGGAGTAGAGTGCTTAAGTTGTCAAAGAGCTTAAGTTGTCAAAATCAACCTTTAATCTAAAAAGTGGTGGGAAAGGCATCGATGGGGGATTTCTTCTAAAAGCTGAAAGTGTTGTGTGACTAAAGCAAACATTTTAAGGGAGTGGAATAAAAACCAAATTTCTGAGAATTTTATAAAACCAAAGTTGGCACGTATCTTGCCCCTGTTTCCAGAAAACCAGTTACTTTAATGGTACAACTGCACACTTGAGGTTTCAGCTGTGTAGTGGCAGGCATACTGGTACTACGGGATAGACGTAGGCACGTGTATCTTTGATTTTTTTTCACTTGTTCAATCCATAAAATATGATATTTGCTCAGTGCTCTTGTGGAATGAGAAAGAGAAGCTGTAACTTTGGACTGTAGCTAGCAACACTGTGAGATGGTAGTACTTCTTCTGCTCTGGTGCAAGGTGGTTCACGTGTAGCTTCATGGAGCTCAACGAAGCAGAACAAGGACTACTACCGCCAGCTGCCATCTGAGTGTGAGATAGTCACCAAGTGGCACAAGTTGCTCCTAGAAGGATTTTGACTAAAGTCCTAACGCTTTTGTTTTAAATTTGGGGTCTCCAGCTTAAGTATCATGGTCCTGGGTCATTTTGACCCAGCATTCTTTGTTTCCTTGTGTTTCTGTATCATGTTAAGTTCAATGTTTTACGGCTTAATTACCACAAAACGGAAAGGATAGTAGTTTCAAGATTACATTGTCTTTCTTTTGTTCTCCACATACTCCAAACACTGTTTATTCGTTTGCAGCAAAAACCAGCTCAAATATGGTTGGTCAATTATGATATTTCTTTAGAAATCGACACAAACGTGCCATTAAAGCTGCCATCTGTAGTATGAGCAGTGGTATTCAGCCAGGACAAGCAAGGCAAGTAGAGCTTGCCTTTCTGTAAAAGTCCCCACATGGAACTGACTGAGGAAAATTGCTCAGCTATCTCTGACAATAAATAGCTTCAGCTTCAATGACAAGCTCAGGTCCTACAACAACACATTCTTGAGGCTTCAGGGACCAGCTTCCGGCTCATTTAATTATTAATGGGGAGCACCCGAGTCTTTGCAAATGACTTCCTGTTCCTCCAGTTTTGTGAGGGTCTTTGCATTTTCACGTAAATCTTTTCTAAATTTACTTTCATAAAACACAACCATGGCAAAATGCAGAACATGTAGGAACGTTCCTGACCAGTAGCCAGATAGATGAGGCCATATTTAGATTATATTTGCACAGTCACAATGCTTAAATACTGTATTTTTGGACCCATTTATCAAGGTACTTGTCTTGATACTTTAACCTGTAACAAATGCACTGGCATTTACAGAGAAATGTTAAAGCTGCTGGAAATGCTACTCAGAGCAGAGTATCCCCTACCATTGGAAAGCAAGGGTACATAGGTAACAGACGCAAGTCCGCTTCTATGAATACATCCACTCAAAAAGGTTATGCTAATGACTACCAATGGAGCCAAAGGCCATTACACAGCTATGCAAACAATGATAGCATTGAAGCTACAGCCAACAGTTGTTATTTATATTAGCCAGCAAAGCTAAGAGAGGTTACATAAAGATAACTTAAATGCAGCAACATCAGGAACACAAATGAATATTAGCGACAGTTTAAATGTCATGTTATGTAGTTAACAGAGAGAAAACGCCTACGCTTGCTAATTTTCATTGAGAGAAAAGGTCTGAGATACTCTTAAAAGCCATAGCCAGTTATATTATTTGTATATTGGCTTAAATATCTACTGAACTAATCCAAAATGACTCAGGGTTGCTTTACTCAGAAGATGGTAATTGCTGCTTGTCTGTCACATGTAAACACCACTTTTTCCCGCGCCATGATGCATTTAACACGCCATTTTTCATCACGTCAGACAGATTGGCAATAGGACAACGAGGCCTGGCACAGCACCACCAGTATGTTTCGTGTGAAGGGAAAGGCCAGAGCATTTGTCTGATTTGGACGAGCCGAGGTATGCTGGGAGGAGCAGATGTACAGAGAGCAGCTCGGTGACACCAGGAAGAATCCAAACGGAAAGCTTTGCCATGCCAAGCTATTGGGCCGAACATAATATATTCACCCCAGAAACAGAGCCCTGACTTCAGGCCGAATAACACAGAGATTCATTAGACTTGTTTCAAATTTCATTTGGTACGTCTTTCCAATAGGAGAGCAAAAGATAGAAACTTCTAGCTTATGTGACAGATGTATGAAGTTATAGTGTGCATATGTTAAATGTTCCTCACAACAAGAGTCCAAACACTGTCCATGGTCACTCCAGTTAAACCAGACTTACCTGAGCAAGCCAGTAGGGTAATTTACCAATTGTGTTTATTACCATTAAGCATGAGTACTGGAACCAGTATTAAATAGGCACACACAGACACCTAGACAAAAAGGTACAGCTATTGATATTTATGCAATGTTAATATATGCGATACCAACATAGCTGACATTTTAAAATTCCTAAGTGTCACTGGTAATGACACTTAGGGTCAAGGGATTATTCTTGATGTTGCCATGTTTCTCTGTGCTCTACTGTCATGGCTGACAGAGCAAAATGTTCAAAGGTTTGTGCTCACTTTACTGTATTTAATGAAAAATGGAGCTCAGTGTGATATTCCGCATGTAAAAGGTTAGATGCTCTGTAAAAACCCTGACACATATACAAATCTGACTTTAAACTAAATTTGAATCAGTGCAGTGTAGTTGGCTGCTTTAGGTCTGATGCTGATGAGATTTGCCAAACTGTTAAAGCAACTGTTTCAACCTCGAGTCAAGATGAGACTGTTTTGATGAAGTTAGGATACAGTTAACATTCCTTTTTTAAAGCGTATTCAAATGATCTTATCCTTTGTTTTTTGGTTTTGTTTTGGGGGGTTTTTCAGAAAACCAACAGCCCCAGCTTACACAAAGCCGGTGGACTATGTAATCAGACTCTATGCATAAAAATTGCCACTTTCCATATATCATTAGATTTGGAAGAGGCAGTAGCTATACCCTCTCTGTTGAGCAACAACACCTGCAGGTAAGAACCATAACAAATTCAGTTTGTTTGGGTTTTTTGGACATTTTCTGGAATGCACTAAAGGTTACGACATCTGATTTCTGAGGAATCTCGATCACAGCACTAGCGAGTTGGATCATAGCATGAGCTGAGAAAGTTAAATTGCAATACTTTGAGAACTTTAGGGGGATTATCCCAGCCCTTGACCCTGGAGGAACATTAATAAACACCAGCACATCTGCTTAGTAGGAAATGAAAAACATCAGTGACTATAACCACCATCATGTCTTTATTTTATAGTAAAATGTGGAGAGTAGCATCGATAGGAGTATTTATCAAGTGAGGAAGTAATATCTGTCACTATAATTACTATAGTTAAACGTGAGGCTTCACTATAATTAAATGTGAGATTGTGATTCAAAAACCTTCATCAGGCTGTGTGTTGCTGTGAATAATGCTTTGACCTGTCGTTGTGTGCATTAAATGTGCTGCCAGGTAAGCTGGATGAGTAATGGCACACCTAGGGAAACATTTCTGCCGGCCTCCATCCTTCTTATTACTGATGCACTTGCAAAAACAAACCCTGCAGCAATAAACATAGTGAAATTCATTCTGTTATAAACAATAGTGTCAAACTAGGCAATGATGTGGTTACACAATCACCTGGGACATTTCATTAAGCTCGTGAGCATTAAAAAGAAGTGAAGTGATGACCTGGAGGACTGAGAACCTTCACAGACATATTAAAAAGAAGTGATTACACAGAAACATAAGCCCAAAGCATTTATCAGCAACCCCTGTTCTTTCCTATCATCCACAACCAAAAGCTCAATCCAGCCAGGCAGTGGGCTCCATCTGACTGACCGTAGCAAAGAGCAGGGAAGCACATGGTGACCTACCATCCTGGAGAGGACGAAGAAAAGCAACATACCGAGGCTGCCGGGCCAAGCACAGAGCACAAGAGCTTTATATGTTTCCCAACCATGAAAGAAATCCACAATAGCTTGATAGCTACGTGGTAACAGCAGATCGTTCCAACCAGTTCCATGGATCAGTTTTGGAAAGGCGGAAGAGTAAAGCTCATATCCAATCATATTCATTTCTAACAGCCTTTTTATTCAGGTTTAAAACTGACGCTGGCTGGTCAAGTGAGATGACATGACTGAAAAACTCTGCTTTCCCTGTCAGCTGCTCAATCCCTCATAACGTTATGTTCACTTGATGGGAAGCTTTCATTGCACTTGCAGTGACCTAACATTTTCTACTAGCATGATCATAAATGGTAAATAAAATGGTAAATGGCCTGTATTTGTATAGCGCTTTACTTAGTCCCTAAGGACCCAAAAGCGGTTTACACGTTCAGTCATCCACACATTCACACACTGGTGATGGCAAGCTGCATTGTAGCCACAGCTGCCCTGGGGCGCACTGACAGAGGCGAGGCTGCCGAACACTGGCGCCACCGGGCCCTCTGACCACCACCAGCAGGCAACGGGTGAAGTGTCTTGCCCAAGGACACAACGACCGAGACTGTCCGAGCTGTTGAATTGAAACATTGAATGAGTTGAAAGAAAACAGCAGCGCTACTGACAGTTCAGCCTATCCTTAACAACTCACTTGAGTATCAGTGTCATAAATCAGAAGTGAGCTTGTCTAACTTTTCAACTTGTATCAGACTCCTTTCATTAAGTTTTAAAGCTTCTTCCATAGTAAATAAAGCTGGACGATTCTCACTTGGCATTGACACCTGAGGTAAACGGTGGACTGACTCTGGGGCAGATCCAGGCCAAACAGCAGCAGAAACACGCCAGCTGGCGCTATGGAGTATGACATGTTTATAATGTTTTGATCTCTCTTGGATAACTAAAACATGTTTGTCCTGTAGCAGCCACTGTAGCTAGGGTTATGCACTTGAAGTGTGAGATGTAAGATAACCGAAGCCAGTTGACTGCAATCTACTGAAATATAATTGAAACATTTTACACACTGAAAACTAAAACAGAAGACTTAATAAAGCAGGAACACAATGTTCACTTTAAAGTTGCTTGAAGAAATGAGCTTGAAAGAAATTATAGTTAGGAAGCAAAACAGGGAATTCAATATACTTGTACTAAAGGGATTTCTACCAATCAGAACCATATATTTCAAATGTAATTCACAAATCCACTTTCTCATTCACTTATTCAATTTAAGGTTACAGGGTGCCGAGTCTAACACAGCTTTCATACAGTGAAACGTATTTTACATCCTAAACAAGCTGCCAGTTCAATGCAAGGCCAATCCAGAGACACAGACAATCATTCATGCTTACAGTCACACCTATGGCCAATTTAGAATCACCAATTAATCTAACAAGCATGTTTTTGGACTGTGGGATGAACCTGGAGTACCCACAGAGAACCCATGCAGTCACACGAAGAACATCTCCACACAAAAGGCCCCAGCCGGCTGATGATGTGAACCCAGGACTTTCTTGCTATGTGGGAAATCAGCTACGAGTGGTTCTAAGTACTCCCCCACTAATTCAATCTTCCTAAAAATACACTTTTACCTGTTGATGAATTCAGTTCATATAGTAGCACAGGATTTTTAAAAATCTAAATATAACCCTGAAGATGTTTTTAAACACCCGCAGAGAGAAAGAAATACCTGAAATCTTTCAGCGACTGGCTGTGTACAAAAAGGCTTGGACTCACTGATTAGATGCTTCTCAACATGTGGGTTTCTTAAAATTATCCTGACCATTAAAAGCAACTAAGTGGCCCAAATCAGCTTTCAGGAGTTACAGTATTAAAACCACATGCATTAAGATGGCATGGGTCATTTATGGGTGGTAAAGGAGGAAACGCTGTTTCCCAGTAAACTCATTACGAATTGTATCAAGCCAAACACAGGAAGCACAGAGGATCCCAGTGCTCGGCTATCTAATCAAGGACTTGAAATGGACTGTGATGGGATATTGGACGCCGGTCAGCAGACTGCTACAGCAGTGTGAAAATCAATCGATCATATAAGGGAACAAAACAAACTGGACAGGAATCTGTTCCCTGGAACGACAGGCTGATGTATTACAAATAAATCTATGGATGGGGCTCAGACCACTTTACCCCAAACAAATCACAGAGTTTACAGGAGGATAGGTCCCATGCAAATGTACTTCAAGTCTGGGCAATGAAAGCAGCACAAACAAGCAATAATAATGACTTAATATAATAATGCAGATGTTGAAGTTTATTTCCTCCAAGCAGCTCAGATGACACTGCTGAGTTAAATGTTTTAAGCAGAGCCTGATTACTGGCAGTAATTTGGAAAGGAAGACGTTTTGCGTAGGGACCTGAATTTTTTCCACATTCTGCATGCACTTGAAATACATGAAATAAACAAAAGCAGTTTAATGCGTGTCAGAAAAGGGGGGGAAGCAGAAATTTGACACCCTATGCTACCAGCGCACTTGTTTCTCTTCTCGCTCTGGCTCCTTCTTCACGTTCCTAATCTCCAGGAGCTCTACTGTATCCTGTTGTTTCTCTGGGCATTAGAGAACAATCAATTCCAATCTCAGGTTTCTAATGAAGCCTCCCATTGAGCCATACAGGTCTATTAATGGCATGAATAACTTATTGATGGCTCTTCTGGACCTGTGCTATTACAGTATTATGCTCCAATGCAGCCGTATTGACGTTAAAGCTCCCGAACATTTTTTTTAAAAAATAGAGCCGATGCTGCACCTGTTCAGGAGGCAGACAAGTGGAACTATTCCATCCAATTTAAAGAAGATGTGGAAACAGAGGCCAACAGCCTAAAATAACTGTCTTGAATTTTGCTATGCTTCACACTTAAACATGTACATGTATCTGGCCTTTTACACTTAAAGTGACACATTTACAGCACTAAAATAACCAACCATACCCAACCTTAAACCTGGAGAGCGATATCAGTAAGATGGAGATGGGGGGCACTATCAAGAGAATCAGGTCAAATGATTTTCTTCAGCTCTTACATACCACGCACCAGGAAACGATCTGTTTCATATGCATTTGCACTTCTGCAAATACTCCGTGGTCTAAGCAAGGAAGCTGCTTTAATAAGGGTGTGTATAATGCCAAGTACAGGCCCACCACTTGTGAGCACTAAGTGCCCCAGACTACTTGCAAATCACAGCAGTCTCACAGAGATTCATACTCCAGAGGTCAAACACTGATTGATGACATGCACTGTCAGGTATGTCCCAGAAATGTTCAGCTCTGGAAGCATGTGTCAAACTATTTTGTGACTGATTGAGACATGGCATCCTGGCCTTGCTGAAGAGCACATTTCGCGACAAAGATTCTGTAGTAAAGGTAGAAAGATTGCTCTTGTTTGCTAAAATCAGAGCAGCCATGTCAGCGAGTCGACTACTCACCGTAAGCCGTCATGGTTCCAACATACGGACCATCCATGACACTTTGGTTCTCCTCAGCCAGTGCTTTGATGTAGCGCTTGCTAAGGTCGAGGATCTGCTGACGCAGCACGGCACTGTTCTCGTGGCTGGCTCGCTGCTGGATGGTGAAATGCAGCAGCATCATGCCCCAGATGAAGCCGAAGCTGACCAGGAAGAAGCCCAGCTTCTGAGAGGACAGTTTCCACAGGAAAGGTGTAGCCATGCTGACAGGACAGAGACTTGGAAGAGCTGGACTGACTTTGACTGGACAGGGGGAAAGATAAAGAGTTGGGCAAGAGGAATCAGGAGGGCAGGCGAGGCATATCTGTGTCAGTTGGAGCGACTCCGGCAGTTTTTGGAGGGTGGCATGCAGCTCGTCACCGTCATGATTTCCTTCTTTGATCCATCCTCACCGCTCAGTAACATCTCAGGGGGCAGAGTCCAACCTGCTGCAGAAAACACAAACAGAGAGGAAGGAGAGATCAGGAGTTAGGTAGTTGCTTTGCTAAACTCAGATAACAAGGGAGTTGCCTTCCCTACCCCAATCCCACATGACCATGATTAATTTAAAACACTGATAACCAAGAGAGGTTTGGCAGTTTGAGATATAACTTACAGTAAACTGAGGTGGGGTCCTATTACAAGCATGCACAACATACACACACTCAGCCACATGCCCATATGTAACTAGCATGGAAATACTTCACTGTAAGTGAAGATGCAAAGTTTACCAAAGTAAACAACAAAACTACTTCAATCACCCTCACCCAGATAAACATGAAGATTTTAAAAAAGCCAACAAAGGCAAAGTAGCTAAAGTGTTAGCTAAACCTATCCTGAGCTCAGAGCCAGCAGCCTCAGTATGAGCCTCGGTATTAGCAGCGAAAAGATTAAAGCAGATAATGAGCAAAACTGTGGAGATGAAAACGAGAAAATGGCCAATGTCCTGTTATTTGTTAAAGTTAAAAACTTAGTGAAAAATGATGCAACAACACAACATTTGTTTTTTTGTGCACCGCAACTCCTATTCAGTTAAATATTTGTAGTTGATTCAAGTAACAGACCACTTCAGTTGTTTCAGTAACGTCCTGGAGTTTTGAGGTAACTATGAAGTTTAAGGCATGCAATTTAGTTGAACAAATTCTTGAAAATGAGTAACTGGGTGGAGGTGCTTAATGTTAGTGAAGCGTACTTCTCCTCCACTATTAGTTTGAGAAGATCAACCTGTTTCTAACTGCAGCAGGCCACACACAACGGAGCCGGAGCACACCCAGCTGAAGGCTGCTGTGCTCAGTGTGTGGAGGCTCATTTAACGTGGCATGGTAACACACCAAATTCGACTAGTAAAAAAAACAAAACAACAGAAAAAAAAGGAAAAAAGAAGACAAAGAAATGACTTTAATGCTTCTGCGACTCTTGAAACAGAAGCAGTCTTGTTTAATCCAGATAGTATCGTGTGTGACTGATGTTGCTGTGTGAATGTTTAAGCAAAAGGGTGTATACTGTCCCTGAAATAAAAACATTTGAATAGCTTACAATTTATCTTCCTCACTGACAGGTGATGTCCCTCCAGGACATTTACAGCACCCGTCTCACTAAAAAAGCCCTTTGCATAGCGACTGATCCCACGCACCCAATGCAAAGCTTCTTCAAGCTGCTGCCGTCAGGGAGGAGACTGCGGAGTCTCCAGGCCAGGACCAGCAGACTGAAGGACAGCTTCATCCATCAGGCTGTCAGGAAGCTAAACTCCCTCCCGATTCTGCCCCCCTCTCCCCTCTCCCCCGATCGTGGCTCAAGAGTTAGGAGTTCACCTTGTAATCGGAAGGTTGCCGGTTCGAGCCCCGGCTTGGACAGTCTCGGTCGTTGTGTCCTTGGGCAAGACACTTCACCCGTTGCCTACTGGTGGTGGTCAGAGGGCCCGGTGGCGCCAGTGTCCGGCAGCCTCGCCTCTGTCAGTGCGCCCCAGGGTGGCTGTGGCTACAATGTAGCTGCCATCACCAGTGTGTGAATGTGTGTGTGAATGGGTGGATGACTGGATATGTAAAGCACTTTGGGGTCCTTAGGGACTAGTAAAGCGCTATATAAATACAGGCCATTTACCAGGCCATTCTCCACCACGGTCTCACTGAACTCTGTCACACACACACACACACTCACTCTCTGACGCACTCACTGGCCTGCTCCAGTCACTTTGTGGAGCATTGGACTGCTTAAGCATTGGACCTCATAAGACTTTGTTGTTACACTATCTCTTACCGTACACTACTAAATCCCCATTTGCACTATTTGCCTATTTTGCACCACTATGCCTTCTTACTTGAATATTGTATATTGCATAGCTTTTTTTTGTTATACGTAAAATTGTATTGTATTTATTTAAATTTTTACTTTTTAATTATTTTATTTGCATTTTTCTAATCACTAGGGTTTGAGAGTAACGCAATTTCTATTCTGTGCATGTCCTGTACATGTGGCAGAATTGACAAATAAAGTTGACTTGACTTGACTTGACTTGAACACAAACAGAATTTTAAACCCTTTCACTTTTTGTCATTGCACTCTCATGTTCGCAACACGTTTAGAGAGGGGCTCAGACTTGGTCTGCGTGTGGGGTCGGACAGCAGTACGTGAGTTTGAGGCGTACAGGTAAACACAGTAAGGCGAGACAAGCTGAGCTACAATTAATTCATCAGTTAATACGGGGCCTGGGTTTCACTAACATTTAAATTATTAATCAACCAGTTGTTTAATAATTGTCTACAACTTCCAACAGTCTGAGACAGTCTTGCCTTTTCAGCAGCTGTTTGTGGTGCTGTACTAAACGAACTACACTTTTTTTTTAAGCTCAGTTGTTGATATTCGTTTAAAAAAAAAAAAAGAAAGAAAGAAAAAAGTCTACTATTCAGAATAAATTCACACCTGAGTTTGGGGGACACAGACTTTGAATCTTTTCAAGTCACAGGAAAAGAGAGTTTTTAGAACTATTTCTTCTCGTTTTAAGTTTTTAGAGCATGCCCGATGAAGAATATCAAAAGCCCATCACTGAAATCCAGTCAGCAGAAGTTGTACACATGTGGCATCGTACCTTGATGAATAGCTGGAATGCAGGTTTGCACATAGCACGTGTAATCTGTCCAGTCAGCAGCCTGTATATGCTTCTTGCATCAAACCGCCCTTCTGCTGTGCTTGTAGTATCGCTCATTTTGTGAGATTTAAATCGCATGGAACCTCCGAGCTAAGCAGGTTACAAGACTGTTATCCCGATATAAGACATTTATCAGCCCGACAATGATATATATCACAAAAATTTTACATTTTCTGTCAAATCTGTAAATCTCGGGCAACTCGACTTGCGTGACGTGTTTTCCTGGGCGTCGTGTACCTGGAGTCTAGTTTTGAGCGATGCTTAAAACTATACATTTTAAGATGCAAGTTGTAATGGCTGCCATTTTCTTTGTGATTATTTATTACGCGGCGTGCTGCTGGGAAAAGCCTGTTTTAACGTTTGAGTCTAAGGTTTATTTGGAGCACCTGACGACTCTTCTTTGCTTCTCATCCGTAAACTCTCTCCACACTCTTTCACGTGATTCTTGTGTATGTGGTAGAACAGGTTTGCTGTGTTTGAGTCTGATATGGGGTCCAGTTTCCTGCATAATTTCCGTAGTACAATCTTCTGGTCCGTGTCAGACTTTTCATAACCAAACCATGTCCATGCTACAGAGGGAGCCCCTCGTTTAGGAATAAGGTCCTGGATTTGTTTTGACTGGTCTTTCTGTTTGCCATCATCTCAGTTTATTTTAAAAAATCTCAACAGGATCTTCAGCTTTATTGTGAAAGGTTTATGTGGAAAATAAACAAGCGGATGACGGAGCCACACGCTGGTTTTACCGTCGTTGTTGCTAACGACAATGCATAAAAACAGTCACTTGACCATCAGTAGTGTAGATATTTTAAATATAAGAGAAAGGGAGAACTTTAAGAAATAATATAGCCACTAAAGCGACCATCAAAACCATGAAAAAATATTGCCGTGAACAGTTTATTTTGCGACACCATGAAACAAACGAAAGCGTAAGATGAAACGATAGACGTTTTCATATTGTCATCCGATATATATCGTTATATTGAATAGCTCTACACCGAAGCCATATGCTGAGTTATATTAAAGAAAAGATAACAGAATGGAGCCATAACAAGAATAACAGGTCACCTTTAACCTGCAACTCCCGCGCTAATCTTAGCAGAATATACTTGATGAGAGTACTGAATACCCCGATTATTATTTACAGCAACAGGAAATAACGTTTATCAGAAACACACATCATTAATATTAATCTATGCTGGTGCCTGTGTGTGCTGTAAACAAGCAGCTACCAGATATCTTATTAACCAGCATTTGCGTGCATGCCTGACCACATGAATGAAACCGAAACAAACATCCCTTTTCTGATTATAACGCATTGTTCTGTTCTCTGCCGTGCGATCAGCTTCTTGTAGAGAAAACCTCACCAGGCTAATCAGCATAAACATTCAACTCTAATTTGCTGCACTCCCTGGCTTTATAGCTAGCTGAACATAACTGCGCCATTATCAGCAAATTTGGCTTTAACCATCAAGCTTTTGCCCATAATGTAAAATGAGGCTGCCCTGCAGCACTTTTTGGAGATGTTAAATAGTTCAACAAGTATTAACTGACGACCTCTAGGCAATTTCTGCTAAGCTAAATAAATGCCTCTGGCTTTAAGCATTATGCCACAGCAACAACAACATAAAAAAAAAACCAAACAAAACAAGCAAACAAAAAAAAAACTTTACAGCACACAGTCAAGCCAAAAGAAAAAAGATGTGATGTCATCTGCATTCAGCCGCTGCTGCTGTAAACGAGGGTAAGTGTGAGGAGAGGATTTCTGCAGCCTTGCTTCTGAACTGCGTCTTTCTTAGACCCTTTTAGAGCAGCTCTAACCAGGTCAAAACCACAGCCGCTTGCATGAATGCAACACTTTGAAAAACCCCAATACTCTTAACTACAACACCACATGCTCCTGCCTATATCAGAATTACTGAATTTGTTGAACATTTACAGAGGAATATTCGTCCTGGATCTAAAGCACAGCAAAGTTGGATACGCCAGCAATTAAGTTCCGAAAGGAAATCATCAGCACCTTCCCAAGAAACACAAAAGGCAGCCACACAAAGGCTCTTTTCACCTTCCATCCATCAGCTTCATAAATAGGTCAGAGACAGCTGCGAGCAGCTTCCAGCAGGGCTGGAATCTCACTGCAGGTTATGACACACCATAAATGTTCAGTCATTTAGGACGAAGGCCTGTTTTTGCTTTTTGCGTGCACAGAAATGGTTTTATACATTTGTACAAATATGACATTGTCAGAAATTAAGCCAAT